CTCTTTGGACTGAGTCAGCCAGGCACCCCAGGAAAAGAAATTTTTACATTCTGTGTGGTGATGGACGTCACAATATCACTGACTGTGATAACCATTTCAAACTGTGTACATGTACACAATCATTATGCTTTACACCTAAAAGGAATACAACGTGAGATGTCAACTACATCTCAGTTACAACACACACACACACACACACACACACACACACACAAGCCAAACCAAACTAATACAGTGAAAGAAGCAAGTGGTTTTTTTCCCTGTGGCAGGAACTGGGACAGGACTGGCTGCAAATGGTCACCAGAGAACCTTCTGAGGTGAGGAAAATGTCCTGTATCTTGGAATCTGAAACAGGCTCTGAGCTGTCAGCGCCGAGTCGGACGTGGGGCTCGAACCCACAGACCGTGAGATCACGACCTGAGCCAAATTCAGACGCTTAACCGACAGAGCCCCCCAGGCGCCCCTCAACAGCTGTGGTTGAAAAGAAAAACTACAGGGGCGCCTGGGGGGCTCAATCGGTTAAGCGTCCGACTCTGGACTTCCGCTCAGGTCACCACCTTCCCTATAGCGTGGTGGCCTGGGGACAACCAGACTGCTTACACGGTGGCTCTTACAACCTCACCTGAGCACCACCTCGGCCATAATCACAAGCCCGCCCAGAGCCGGAGGAAGGCAGATGGCACCTCTACCGGAAGAGCGCCTACGTCACCCTGTGGGGCCCGAGGGTGCTGGTGCCCGTCACAACAGCTCACAGCCCGCCCCCAGGCCAGCACATCCCCTTCCCCCTACAGACACCCCTTTCACAGACGGCACCAATCCAGCCTCTAGGGTTTTATCATTGAAATCAGGTCTGGATGCTGGATTCCATGGGGTGCCCTTCACCCATTTCCTGAAGCTCTGGGTGAGGGTGGGGGGGGGGTAGGGGAGTGAGAGGGTGAAGGGGGGCGCTGGTCCCTGTACCTGTCCTGGATTTCAAAAGAGATCACCCCAGCCCCATGGGGGAGGACAAGGGTTCCCATTGGACTCTAGCTTTGGGACATTCTTCCAGCATGCCCTGAACACTTCTGCAAGTATTAAAAGCCACGGGGAAACCCGGCTGAATGAGAAAGATCCAGAATCTGCCAGCCCAAGGTGCGGTCTGGCCTTTTCCCTGTGGCCCTCAATGGACTGGCTCTGCTACCTGGGGAATTGGGGAATTGGGGATTCCTTCTTCGGTCCCCTGGAACAGAACTTCATGAGCCCACTTAATATGCAGCTCCCTCCCCCCATAAATACAGCACAGTACTATAAATATTTTCTCTTATGGTTTTCTTTCTTTTTTAATTTTTATTAATTTTTTTTAAGTTTATTTATTTTGAGAGAGACAGCATGAGTGGAAGAGGGGCAGAAGGAGAGAGAGAGAGACAGAGAGAGAGAGAGACAGAGAGAATCCCAAGCAGGCTCCTCACTGCCAGCACGGAGCCCCACGTGGGCCTCGAACTCGTGAAACCGTGAGATCATGACCTGAGCTGAAACCAAGAGCCATCAGATGCTTCACCGATTGAGCCACCCCAGCTCCCCAAGCTGCATCCCTGCTACTCCTTGGCTCATGACCCCTTCCTCTGTCTTCAAAGACAACAGAATAGCATATTCCCAGTTGTCACATTGCTTCCTCGTATGGTACGTACATATTATGTAATATGTTATATTCTATATATTATGTATAATTGCGTTCTTATAAGGACACCTGTGATGGCATTTAGGACCACCTGGATCATCTCCCATCCCAAGGTCCTTCCCTTCATATACATTCAAACAGAGGAACGCTACTTAAGGAAATGAGGTAAATCTATATCCAAGAACATGGGAAAATGCCCAAGGTATATCATAAAGAGAAAAATAGAAATTAGCAGCGGCGCCTGGGTGGCTCAGTCGGTTGAGTGTCCGACTTCGGCTCGGGTCATGGCCTCACAGTTTGTGAGTTCGAGCCCCGCATCGGGCTCTGTGCTGACAGCCGGGAGCCTGCTTTGGATTCTGTGTCCCCCTCTCTCTCCGCCCCACCCCTGCTCACACACTGTCTCTCTCTCTCTCTCTCTCTCTCTCTCTCTCAAAAATAAATAAAGATTTAAAAAAATTAAAAAAAAGAAAGAAAGTAATAGCAACAACCAGTCAGAAGATATAACGGGAAACTCTATAAGAGCAATTGAAAGACAAATACCTTCCAGAAAACTTAATAAGAAACGCATCGAATCTATTTAAAGAGGAGTTTAAAACTTTTCATAAAGGGACTCTCGAACAAATCAGCCTATATGCCATATTCTTGCATCAAGAGATTGAACATTATAAAATAGAAACCTTCCATAAATCCATTTTTAAATTTGATACAATAACAGTGAAAGTCGTCGTGCTTTGGAATAAAATCCTAGACGAATTGATTGTAAAGGTTATATTCAAAAATTAATGCGTAGGAATAGCCAGGAAATTTCTGGAAAAGAAAAGCAATGAGACAGGGAAGGGGGTGGAGAGTAGCTCTATTACTTATTTTGAAATATTATTTCAGTAATGAAAACAGTATGTTACCGGTTCATATTAGACAGACTGACCAATGGAAGCGGAGAGAAAGTCCAGAAATCAATGCAGATAGATTCAGGAATGTCCTTTATGACGAATATGGGGGAGAATTAAATTACTCAGGAAATAAGAACAAGACAATTGGAGCCAGCAGAAGAAAATCACGCTGAATCCATAACTGATGGCAGACAAATTTCAAGGGGTCAAAGATTTAAACATCAAAAGTGAAATATAAGTCCTTGAAGGAAACAGTGGGAGAATTTGTTTATAACCTTGGCCTGGCCAAGGCTTGTTAAATAATGACCTGAAATCAAAAAAAATATTTAAAAAAATCTTAAAAGACACACGTAAAAACGTGCTTGTTGAAAACACACCCGTGTTAAAAGCAAACAAAACACACACACACACACACACACACACACACACACACGGGTAAAATATTTTTACATGTTTTTCATGCTTATTTATTTTGAGAGAGAGAGAGAGAGAAAGGGAGAGAGAGAATCCCAAGCAGGCTCTGCGTTGGTATCACAGAGCCCAACATAGGGCTCGATCTCACACATCGTGAGATCACAACCTGAGCCGACACCAAGAGTTGGTTGCCTAAGCAACTGAGCCACCCAGGCGCCCCAACACACTCTGGAAAATACTTTCGCAGATCATATCACAAATGTGTAATTCTCCTAACATTTAAAAAGCTCTAAAAAAAAAAAAACTGTAAGAAAGATACCAATAACCCAATAGAAAAGTGGTAAATACACCGACAATTCTCAGAATATGATATACAAATGGCTTATAAACACGCAGGCAGGGCAATTTATTGGAGCAGAGCTAGTCATAGGCAAACAGGTAACTGGTCAACCAGATGATGTGGCCTCCGTTCAGTGGAATACCATGTAGCTGTAACCATCTCTTATGAAACAAGACAGGAAAGGACCTCCAAGATCTGTCATCCAAATCAAAGAGCAAAGTATAGACCCGTGTTACCTTTTATGTCAAAGGGAACTGTAAGCAAATATGTCTTATTGGCTTGTGTACCTCGAAGGATCCCCGGAGGATAAATAACAATCTAACGGTGACTGCCTACTCAAAGGGGCAAACTAAGAGGGCACAGGGAGGGGGACTTTTCACAGTATTCTTTTTTAAATTTATTTTATTTTTAATCCTATGAAATGTTAAATGTGTTACCTTCTTACGCAACAAATACAAAATAAAATATTTTTGAGGAGAGAATTGAGAATTACATAAAATGATATATTTTCTTTCTTTTTTCTAACGTTTATTTATTTATTTTTTTTAAATTTTTTTTCAATGTTTTTATTTATTTTTGGGACAGAGAGAGACAGAGCATGAACGGGGGAGGGGCAGAGAGAGAGGGAGACACAGAATCGGAAACAGGCTCCAGGCTCCGAGCCATCAGCCCAGAGCCTGACGCGGGGCTCGAACTCACGGACCGCGAGATCGTGACCTGGCTGAAGCCGGATGCTTAACCGACTGCGCCACCCAGGCGCCCCACGTTTATTTATTTTTGAGAGAGAGAGAGAGAGAGAGAGAGAGCAGCAGAGGGGCAGAGAGAGAGAGGGAGACACAGAATCTGAAGCAGGCTCCAGGCTCTGAGGTGGCAGCACAGAGCCTGACTCAGGGCTCAACCCCATGAATGGTGAGATCATGACCTGAGCTGATGTCAGATGCTTAACTGACTTAGCCACCCGGGTGCCCCTCTCAAAGATTTTTTTTTTTTAAGCTTTATTTATTTAAGTAATCTATATGCCCAAAGTAGGATTTGAACCCACAACCTCAAGATCAAGAGTCACACGCTCTTCTGATTGGGCCACCCAGGAGTCCCCAAAAATGGTGGTTTAAAGTTCATTTTCTAATTGCATAGGGAAACACGATCTATTTCCATGTTCCCTCACCACTATTCTTTATGACAAACTGCAGTGTAAGCCTGGCTTTTGCCTTCTATTTTAGATTCAGCGTCCTTTTCTAACGCAACTTGAATTGTTTTTTAAGAATCAGACTCCCCCAGGACTTGCCTGCTACTCTCAGATTCAAGCCAAATTGGATAAAAAGTCCTTTCGCCTCATTTAAACTTTAAGGAAACATGGTTTTCCTCGTCTACTGCTGTAGCAGTTCCACAAACAGAAACTTCTCATTCCTTCTGTCAAGTCCAAATTTCATGACTCCATGGGGGGTGGGTGAGGGACTAAAAATCCCAGAAGAGGGACCTTTTCCCTTCTCTAAACAAGGAGAGGAGAACAAGGAGAGAAACCAAGACCTTCCAGAGGGGGCGCATCACCTGTGGCTGGGGTTATTTATAGGACTTGGATTTAAATTTAATTCTGCCCTCTGGTAACTCCAGTGGCACCTGCTACTTTAAGAGCTGGCCCCACCCCCTACGTAAGAGAGCTGTTTAGCTCCAGTGCGTACAGATCAAATGCAAGTTTAGCAGGCAAGACACGAGAAACATAAACAAGTTCTGCAATGGGTCCCTGGAAGAGGGGGGCCAGTGTGGTGGCTGGAGTCAGGCTGTGTCACCTGTGCACGAGGACCGGGATGGATTTAAACTATTCTGCCCCTAGAATATAAAATGGGGTGGCCGCTCCGAAAAACATTGCACATGTGGTCCGGCCATTCCTCTTCTAGGTACAGACTCAAAAGAATTGAATGCAGGGACTTAAATGGGTATTTGAACAGCCACGTTCACAATAGCCTAAAGGTAGAAGCAAGACAAGAGTCCCTGGACAGATGAATGACTAAGCACAATGTGGAATATGCACACAGTGGGATATCATTCAGCCTTTAAAAAGTAGGCAATTGTGACACCTGCTCCAATACGGATGTACCTTGAGTACATTACTCTGCGTGAAATAAGCAAGACATAAAAGGACAGATACGATAATGATCCCACTTCTACGAGGTACGTAGAGTGGTCAAAGTCATAGAGACTTTGAACGGTGGTTGCCAGGGCTGGGAGGAGGGGAGATGGGGAGTTATTGTTTACTGGGTATGGTGGTTCAGTTTGGGATGATGGAAAGTTTTAGGGATGGATAGTGGTGACAGTGAATATATTTCATGCTGTTGGATTGCACACGTAAAAATAGCTAAAATAGTAAATTTTATATTATGCACCTTTTGCCACAATAAAAAAAAAGTTTAAAAAAAGTTGGACAGTTAACCGACTGAGCCACCCAGGCACCCCTCAAAATGTTTTTTTTTAATTTTTAATGTTTATTTATTTTTGAGAGAGAGAGAGACAGAGTGTGAGTGGGGAGGGGCAGAGAGAGAGGGAGACACAGAATCCGAAGCAGGCTCCAGGCTCTGAGCTGTTAGCACAGAGCCCGACGCAGGGCTTGAACCCACAAACCATGAGATCATGACCTGAGCCGAAGTCAGACGCTTAACCGACTGAGCCACCCAGGCGCCCCTCAAAATATCTTATTTAAAACTTATTTAAGGGGCTCCTGGGTGGCTCAGTCGGGTAAGCATCAGACTCCTGATATCGTCCCAGGTCGTGATTTCACAGTTTGTGAGCTTGAGTCCCGCCAGAGTCAAGCTCTGCTCTGATAGCACGGAGCCTGCTTGGGATTCTCTCCCTCTCTCTCTCTCTCTCTCTCTCTCTCTCTTTCTCTCTCTCTGCCCCTCCACTGCTCTCTCTCGTTCTCTCTCTCTCTCTCAAAATAAATAAATAAACAATAAACTTAAAAAAATAAGTAACACTTATTTAAAATCCCTGAATATAGTGATCAAGTGTTCACCTCCGTGAGGTCTTAAAACTCTTCATTCGCATTGTATCCCTAGAGCCTAAAACAGTGCCTGTCACAGTGGAAATTCATGAGTGTTTTTTGAATGAATGAATGATTCCTTATTCAAGTTGCTCATGCACAAATAAATGTTTTTCCAAGGTCGTGCCTGCAAGTGGGGTTGCTTTGACTCTGCTAAGTGTTGCAAAAACCGCCCACCAATTTACATCTTCGTCACCAATATGAAGGGATTGCGTCTTCTTCTATTTGTACCAACATTTGCTATTCTCACACCTTATTTTTTGCCATCTGATAGATATTAAGGGTATTTCACTGTTTTATTGTGTACTTCCTTGAATATTAGTGAGGTTAAACATTTTTCCTTAGGCTTTTCTCATGACTTGCCTGTTCATATCATTTGCCCGTTTTTGTAGTGGGTTGTTTATCTCTTTCATATCATGTATGTTTGGGTATTCATCCTTTGTTAATGTTTTGCAACTATCTTCCTGTCTTTGGCTTATGTTTTCTCTTTGTTATATGCTTTTCTGACCAGAAATTTTTAAATTTTAAAATATTTTTAATCAAGTGTGTGGTTTTTGTTTGGTTGGTTTTTTTTTTTTTTTTTTTTTTTGTTCTCTTTTGTTTTTTAGTAATCACTACACCCAACATGGGGCTTGAACTCATGATCATGAGATTGAGAGTTGCATGCTCCTCTGACTGAGCCAGCTGGGCGCCCCCAGAAAGTTTAAATTTGATGTTTTCAAATGTGTCAGTGTTTCCCTTTATGGTTTGTACTTTATGCATCTTGTTTGAGAAATCCTTTCCTACTTTGAATTGATATAGGTATTCTCTTTTCATCCACACGTTTTTTATTAACTGTGTATTTGGAAGTAATTTTAAACTTACAAAACGCTGCAAAGATAAAAAAGGTACGAAGAACACTCCTATACCCCTTATCTAGTTCACCTCATTTTAACATTTTACCCATTCGTTTATTATTTGGTATATATAATATAAACAACATAGCAAATGTAATACATGTGATGTATAGTATATACATAGTATTTCTTAACTATTTGAAGGTAAGTTACGTACATTATGGTGCTTTACAGCTAAATGCTTTAGTGTGTATTTCCTATGAGTAGGGAGTCTCCTACATAACTATAGCACGTTTATCAACGTTATAAATTTACATTGATAAAATAACTTTATCAAATCTCCCATTCATATCCCAATTTTGTCAGCGGACATATTTGATGCTGATGTTCCCTATGGCATTTTTATAACCCCATAAGCCACTTAACCCTATAAACCCTATAACCTTATAGCAGTTTTAAAAACCCTATAGTGTAGGGTCCAAGCCAGGAGAAGGTGTTGCATTTAATCATCATGTCTTTTTTGCCTCCTTTAATCTGGAACAGTTCCTCAACTTTTCTTTATTTGTCTTTTAGAATACTGATGTTTTTGAAGAATACAGTCCCATCCCTGCCCCCCCCACCCCCTTTTTAGTAAAATGTTCCTCATTTTGTGTCTATCTGATGTTAGCTCGTGATTAGATTAGGCTTGATGAGAGCACTTTCAGCTGGACGTCTGCACAGCTGCAGTGATGTGCGATTTTGCATCCGCAATATTACGAAGATTGTGTCTTTCTCAGCGTATCACGTCTGGAGGCTGAATCTGTCTTAATTACCTTTGTCATCCAGACGTTATATTCTTTATCACAGGTAATTTTCACAACCACCTTCAGAGAGATTAAGCAACTTTCCCAAGTTCACCAAGCCAGGAAGGAGGAATTTGAACCCAGGTCTGCCCGAGCCCAGAGGTCTTTGCATTATTTCCTGGGGTTCTGCCTTCCCATAGGCCACAGGGACGGGTTTCTAGGCACAGAGAAGTGGAAATCGGAGAATCGAGGGTGGGCAGATGAGAGAAAAGGGTATCAGACTGGTTTGGGTCTGGGCTCCGGGGTTCAGACTTTGCCAGCCAAGGGATGGGGCTTGGCTTTGGCTGCCGAAAGTGGTAACAGGTGATTGGAGGGAATGAGACAGAGAACTCCCACCCTGAAACTGGTCACCCATAGGTGTCCAGGGGCACAACTCATCGCTTCCCAGGCTGAGAAGAGTAATGTGGCAGCAGCTTGAAAAGGCGAACCTGCAGGTGCTTTTGTTGGGGGGGGGGGTGTAGAGGGGAGGGGAGGGGGGCTGTTGAGAGGCATGGAGGAGAATCTGCTGGAGGCCTGGAAGCCGGGACAGCCTCCTCTGCAGGGAGCCCCATCCTCCACCAACTCCTCCCTGCCTGATTAAGGGACCTTAATCAGCTTGAGGAGATTAAGGACTCTGGACAGCTGTTCCCACACCCCCCGCCCCGGCCGGGCTGGCAAAGGAGACCTGTGGGAGGGCGCCAGAAGGGGGATCTGCCCCGTGACCCCTCACCCCGGGCCTGGGCCCGAGCCCCGGACTTTCCGGTGAGTGGCTAAGGCCCCTCCGCAGGCACGGATTCGGGTCCCCTTCTGCCCCAGATGGATCCAAGGAGGGCGTGGGCATGTCTCGGCTGACCCCAGACGGCCCTGATGAGGGAGGAGGGGCGGGCAAGAGGGGAACAGGAAGCAGGAGAAACGGGGTGTGGGGGGTGCGGCCATGCCCTTGACTCCCGTAGAGTCGTCCAAGCCAGAGGAGGGGGCTGTGGAAGTGGGGACATGCCCCGGGGTTAGTTGGGCTTTGAGAAGCTGGAGGTTGCGGACAGAACCCTAAGAGAGTTGTGCCCCCCTCCCCACCGCCCCCCCCCCCCCCCGGCCGCTCATCCGGCCCTGCTTATGCTCCCAGAAGCCGGCAATGACGGCGTGCGCCCTCCCCGCGGGTGGGTGTCCGGACCCCCGGCGCCGCGCCCCCGCGCGGCGGGTTCCATCCCCGCCCGGCGTCCCCCGGGCCCTGCCGCTGCTTCTGCTGCTCCTGCCGCCCTCCGCCCGGCCCGCCGTCTTCACAGTGGGGGTGCTGGGCCCCTGGGCCTGCGACCCCATCTTCGCGCGCGCCCGCCCGGACCTGGCCGCCCGCCTGGCCGCCGCCCGCCTGAACCACGACCCTGCCATGGCAGGGTCCCCCCGCTTCGAGGTCGCGCTGCTGCCCGAGCCGTGCCGGACGCCGGGCTCCCTGGGGGCGGTGTCGTCCGCGCTGGGCCGCGTCTCGGGCCTCGTGGGCCCGGTGAACCCCGCGGCCTGCCGGCCGGCCGAGCTCCTGGCCCAGGAGGCGGGGGTCACGCTGGTGCCCTGGGGCTGCCCCGGGACGCGGGCGGCGGGCACGACGGCCCCCGCGGTGACGCCCGCGGCGGACGCCCTCTACGCTCTCCTCCGCGCCTTCCGCTGGGCGCGCGTGGCCCTGGTCACCGCGCCCCAGGACCTGTGGGTGGAGGCGGGACGCGCCCTGTCCGCCGCGCTCAGGGCGCGGGGTCTGCCCGTTGCCCTGGTGACCACCATGGAGCCGTCGGACGTGTCCGGGGCCCGGGAGGCCCTGAGGAGGGTCCAGGACGGGCCCAGAGTCAGAGGTAGGCTCCGCCGCGGGGTGCGGGGTGCGGGGTGCGGGGAGGGAGGGGCGGGCGCGGCGGCGCGGGCAGCGGGGCGCAGCAGTGAGCCCGGGGTCTCGGTCCCCAGCCGTGATCATGGTGATGCACTCGGTGCTGCTGGGCGGCCGGGAGCAGCGCTGCCTGCTGGAGGCCGCCGAAGAGCTGGGCCTGGCCGACGGCTCCCTGGTCTTCCTGCCCTTTGACACGCTCCACTACGCCCTGTCACCGGGCCCCGAGGCCTTGGCCGCCCTGGCCAACAGCTCCCGGCTTCGCAGGGCCCACGATGCGGTGCTCACCCTCACGCGGCACTGTCCCCCCGGGGGCAGCGTGATGGACAGCCTGCGCAGGGCCCAGGAGCGCCAGGAGCTGCCCTCTGACCTGGATCTGCTGCAGGTAGAGGCACCTGGGAGGAGGGAAGAGGGGAGGAGGGGAGAGGGGAGAAGGGCATGGAGTCAACGGGAGACGGGAAGACGGAGGCAGTGGGGAGAGACTGAGAGAGCAAGCTCTACCTGTTCTGACGTTTCCTGGGTAAACAGAGGCGCTGGGCTTGCTTGGGGCATCTTGGTGTATTGGGATTGCTTCCAGAGTGTAGGCCAGGGGACCCCCTCCCCCCCCAAGCCCAGCTCCAAGGAGGAAACCCTAGTGAACGCTACACTGTGATGTCTTGCGGTCAGCTTCAAAGTGAACCCGCTTCCAACACCACTGGGACAGGCAGTCTATAATACACTGCTGGTGTGTGTGTGTGTGTGTGTTTTTTAATTTTTAAATGTTTATTTATGTTGGAGAAAGAGACAGAGTGTGAGCGGGGGAGGGGCAGAGAGCGAGGGAGACACAGAATCTGAAGCAGGCTCTGGGCTCCCAGCTGTCAGCACAGAGTTTGGGACTCGAACTCCCAAACCGCGAGATCATGACCTGAGCCGAAGTCGAAGTCGGGTGTTCAACCGACGGAGCCCCCCAGGTGCCCCTGCGCTGCTGGTGTTCGTAAGAGAACGGGACAGGAGGACAAAGGCAGATGCGACCTCCACGCCCAGTTTAGAGGTGTTTCCTCTGGGGCTTCGTCAGGTGGTCGTAACTTTTGGAGAGCCTTGACAAGCCTTGCGGGAAGCAGAAAGGACCCTAGGTGGAGCCAGGGGCTTCCATAATTATTTAGATCCACGGCTTACTGCCAACAACCCCAATACCCAGGATTCCCTGAGAATCCAGAATCCTGGGTCACACCATCTAACTAGAGACCGGTCACAAAAAGGGGAGGGCCTAGGGGCACCTGGGTGCCTCAGTCGGTTAAGCTTCCGACTTTGGCTCAGGTCATGGTCTCCCGGTCCATGAGTTCGAGCTCCACGTGGGAGCCTGCTTCAGATTCTGTGTCTCCCTCTCTCTCTCTCTCTCTCTCAAAAATAAATAAGCATTAAAAAAATTAAAAGAATTTAGATGGCAGTGGGCAGTAAACTAACCACCACAAAGACCTTCCTCAAAGGGTTGCACTTGAGAGAGGGCCGTGAATCAAGGGGGTGGGGGTTGGAATATTCCCCACCAATGCCCCTAGTCTCCTCCAAGAGGACCTGGGGTAGCCAGTGGGAGAAAGGATGGGAATAGTGAGCGAGAAGAGGAGAGCGAGGCGATTGGGGCAGCGGTGAGACTGGATGGGGGGCAGGTGGAGGAAGTGGTGACAAAAACCATCTTCAGTTCTCTGTAACTAGCACAGGTGAGACCCCGGGAGTTACCTTCGATTCCTCTTACCTCCCCCCTCCCACGCTAACCCTAACCCCCCCCACCGCCCCCCCCACCCATCCAGACATCACATCCTGTCAGTTTTACTTTTTAAAAGTCACTTGAATCGATCCTCGTTCTCTATTCTCACCGTCACTGCCCCGGTTCAGGCCGCAGCACCTCTGATCTAAAGCCTGAAACAAAATCTCCCCAAAAGGTCTCAGCTTCAATGCTCACCTGCCCCGGCCTTTCTCCACCCAACAATCAGTTCAAGCTTCAGACACCTGACAAATCTGACTGTGTCACACCCCTGTCCTGAGCCTCCCAGGGGCTTCCCTCGCCCTGGATAGATTACGGTCTCTTCAAAGGGCTTATCACGTCTCTCATGCCTTCCTCTCTCTTCCATCGTCCTTGAACTTCAGCCAGACGGAGCTACTCTGGTCTCCCTAAATGTGCCCGTCTCTCTTGCCTCTGTGCTGCTGGGCGCGCTCTTCCCTCTCCCCTGTCCCTCCCCTCCCACCAGATAACTGACTCACCCCCTCAAGGATGGTCACTTCTTCCGGAAGCCTTCTCCTCCTCCCTCAGCCTGGGTTGGGACCCTCCTTTCCTGTCTCTGCAGCTCCCTAATCACCCCTACCGGCACCCATGGCACTACCCTAACATCCCTGTCTCCCCAACTAGAAGAAAGGTTCCTTGGAACAGGGACTCTATCTCGTCAATATCTCAGTGTCACCTATTGCTTTACACACGCCTGGCACTGTGAGAGATGGGAACTGGGAAAAATAAGCTTGATCGCCTTGGGGAAAGACAAGAAGGAAAAATAGAAAATATAGAAGCCAACCAAAAGATAGGAAAGGAGGCTTTTAGGTAAATGAGAAATAATCATATTAAAGATATGAGCAAGGCAACCAACAGGAGGGGGAAGAGAGGAGCTGCAGGTGATGGAGAAGAGGAATAACCAAGGTTGAGAAGAGCCTAAGAACCCCCGAAAAGAGGGAAGGTCAATGGGGAGGAGGGGAGAGAAGAGAGCCAATAGGGAGAGAGGAGGAGAGAGCCAATGGGGAGAGAGGAAGAGAGAGCCAATGGGGAGAGGGGAGGAGAGAGCCAATGGGGAGAGAG